ACAAGTATTTGGTCGATGCATAATTATTGCAGATTTTTTCGCGGTTTTTTTTTCTCGAAAGAATTTGAATATCGAATTCGGATTTTTCCTAGAAATAATCTACTTGATCTCCTCTACAAGAGTGTACTTAGAAAACCATCCGCATATTCGCGAAATTAGGCTCTACTACTTCGAGAAAGGTTGAAAGAAGACAGCGTCATCCCGTGATCTCAGTAACTTTTCGGGGATGGAACGATCAGCCAAAGCCAACCAAGGAATGGGATCTGCTTCTAAATCTGCCATATTCATCAGCAGAAATATCTATGGACTATCTCATCAACCGTTCGCTGAAAAAATGGTTGGGGAGTAGAAGTTACGTCGATTTGAATGACTTGATGGCCGATGTAAAGGCATGGATCGCCCCCAAAGATCGAAACTTCTTCGCTTTTAGAATCCGACTATCTATCCGATAGCCAATGGAAAGCAGTGCTTGACGTAGATGGTGGATAAGCTCTGTAGTAATTATTTGAAAATGTTTTTGTTCAGTAGTTTTATTTATTGTTTTATTATACATCAACCTAATAATAAGTCACATTATTTACCGATTGTGTCTGCTCTGAATGTACTGCCACTTATTAGTGAGTGAACAGACGCCTCCTTCAGGAATTTAGTGGAAAAAAGATTCCAGTTCCATCCAAATAAGCAATAACAACAAACGATTTTCTTTATAAAAATTCTATTAATCCATTCGGCAATGACGCACAAAGTAGCAGCTGATAAACTCACCTTCACTATCCCAAACGTTCGTGCAATTATGTCCAAGTTGTTTTCATTTATTCGTACCTGAAAAAGGAACTTACGAATTAGTCGTTAACATTTTCAATTCTGCCCTTGGTTTTGCATCTCTGCTGACGACTTCAAATCTCATAAAGAATAATGGACGTTACTAGATGATAGCCTGTCGCAGATTAATGCACGCAATGGCAAGTTCTAAGTACCAGACTCCCATAATTGAACTAGTTTACTCACTATTTTTTATTGCATGTCCAACTTGTGTTTTCGTGTCCACTTTCAAGTACTTCATGTTGCATTAAGTTCAAGGCTGATTTTCTGTTCGACTTGAAAGTAGGAAAAGATATCAGCAGTTGAAATTGTGGATAAAACATGTTAGATAGCAGAAGCGAGGTAAAAAACCTAACCACCAACCGAGCCCAAAATGTCCTCATTAAGATATCGCCGCAAGATGTTTCTGATTCGTGCTATACTGAAAGGTACTGCAAATCTTTTGCGATGCTTGGAATAATGATATCGAATGCCCTTGAAGTGAAGAACCCGGCTCTTGTACTTGTCCTAAGTGTTGGTATGAAAAGTTTGTTTCACTGTCTTCTTCTGTGATAGTGTGCCGAATGGTGAAAAGTCTTCAATCTTTACATGAAAATACCCTGTTGAGCATTTTAGAACGGTGATCAGATTGAGCATTTTCCTTTTATAAGAAGGAGAATCCGATCCTAAAATTCTATTCCCAATTATACGTCGCGGAATCGGTCGTAGTTGAGCCCAAGGGCTCACATCAATAACTTCTAGTGAGGCTGTTCTGAACAGCTCTAAGTTTCTCGATGTTACCTTTAGAATGCGGAAAGTAAATACTAGTCCCTTTACTGGTATCGGTCGAATATAAGCTTTATAGCCTTTGAGTAGAACTCATGGATCTTTAGAAAGCAGGCTTCTAAAGAGTAAGTAAACTGTGCCTCAAAAACGAACAGTATTGAGAAGAATTCAACTTGTTGTCAACAATGAACCCTAGGTCCCTAACTTCACTGATCATGCAGAGCTTGTTGCCATCAATGTGATAATCAAAAAGATTGTGACTAGGAGAAATAAGAAGTACAAACTTTTTTCTATGGCCAGGTTGAGATCCCACTTCTTGGACAAGTATTTACAATGTTGATTTGGATCATATGAGGTGGAGACTATTTTGCGAACCTTCAAATCATCAGCAAAAATTTTACAAATAACTTCTATGAGATTGGGGAGTTCATATGTATGTGTAAATATATATACAGGAAACTTCTAGGGGACTCGGAACAAAACACTCCTTTGAGGAACTCCCTAAATGGTGACCTAACAGCAGAGTATGACTTATTGGAACGAACTTGAAAAATGCGTTGCTTCAAGTACATTCTTAACAGTCATATTTAAAAGAAAAAATTTAGAGAGTATGGTCAGGAAATAAAGTTTTTTCCGCCTACGATCAGCGAAAGCCGTGATAATTATTGCAAACCTCACCTAATAGAGCGCTCACCCCACGACCAGATCTGAGCCAGGTTTTAGATAGAGCAACTATTCCGTATAATCCAGTGAGCATTCGACGAAGTAGGCTGAGCATGGCCTTTGCTACGCACCCGTTCATCCAATTATACGATTCTTCTCCTGTTTTGTAAGGAACGGACGTATATATATGCCTTTACTGGGGAGAAACGTAGGAGGAACGCACGTTTTAAAATCCCGTATCGAAAACGACTGGTGGGTAATATAACTTGAGCCAATCTAGGGCTAGGCTCATTCGGCCGGCCCGCACGGTAAGCATTATTTGAAGAGCCTTGAACTCTTAGGAAATCAAAAATAGCATTAGTACAGCTCGCGTTATGCTTCATGCATTCAAAAGTGCTCCTAGATTCAGATTCAGGCATAATCCTTTTTGGATTCCTTCTAGCGGTTGCTGCACATGAAGTCCTTTCTTCGCCCTGCGTCAATCGCTCGTGCTACGACGCAGGCCTTGAAGGCACAGGCTATAGTATTTTTGACGTACCATTCTGTAGGGGTACAAAAGTGTTAGTATAACAAGAAACTACCACAATATTGCATTCCAATCCGTGTTATATTAAACACATGCACTTTTCAGGGACGAAGAGGAGGATGGGCACCAGGCACCGGTAATGTGCGTTCTAGGGCGGTTTTTTAGAGGTGATGTAGTTTTTAAACTGAGTCTCAGAAGGGTAGGAGCACCGGGATGGGTGGTATAACTACCTGATATCTATTTCAATCCTGACTCGGCGAGATCGTAGGCCATCTAGGCCTTCCATCGCTTCGCTGCTGGTTAATTTGTAACAGATCCGCCTGGGATCATAAAAGCAGTGAATTGAAGGGAACATCGGCACTTGCCCGCAAGCCCGCTGCGATCATGAATGGAGGTCGTATGCGGAAGCTAATCATAAACCGGGATTGATTAGCGGCAAGGACTTTGCATTGTATGCAGCTATAGACGAATCTCATTCACTAAGGGCTCTCCCTCAGTGAAGGAGATTCGTTTTCGGCAATGAGGCAACGTGTCACGACTTCATGTCACGTATAAGGGAATAAATTACGCGCCTCCAGTACTTGCACAGGGACGCAGGTGAGTTCAGTGAGTGAACTACCTGTTTCTGCTATGTTGGGTCGATTTATATGTACCTTCTGTCTTCACAGACGTACACGTTTGTGCGTGGGTGGCCAATCTGCAGGTGCGCTTGGTATCGTGCACCTAAGCTCAGCCGAAAGCCTACATTCGAGTGACTGGGGAGTAATCTGGGAGGCGATTAGGATCCGCCTGCAATAAATCCATCCGTTCACACTATGATAGCTTGGCTAGCTGCCCGGAATCAAACCAACAACACGTCAGAGCCTGGATTTTACTCCAGAAAGCTACTAGTGGATAACCGTACCTAGGACCGTAACATAATTGGGTCATCTGAACATGCGAGGGCCCCCAGTAAGGCAACTTGGATAGGACCGCTCGGGAGAGGTTGCCAATAATCCAGAGCATAATAGACTGCCTGGAAAAGAAAATTTCAAAACTCTCTTCCTCCAATACACGAATGCCTTCATACATCGGAAGTATGTTTAGAAGATCTGATGATGCAAGCTTATGAGATCGAGTACGAGGTCTTCAGACTGAGCAAGACAAGAATACATCGCTCGCTGTACGCTTTTCCGGGACTGAAGAAGAGCTGTCCCTAGAATATGATAAGAAAAAACTCCAGCTCCAAGAATTTCCGTTGGTCAGGCGCTAACATCATGTACGAAAAAGAGGAGATGGAATCGTTTCACACGGACTTGGAACAGGTCTACAAATAAGACCATATTTCTTGAATGCCGTCGTAAATGTTGATTCCACGATAAAGATTGGCCCGAGAAAAGAAGCTGAAGAGCATCAGGGAAGAGCATGAGGGAAAATTTAAATGCGAAGCTCCAAGGCCGTCATCGGTTGGAGCCGCGCTGCGCTTCCCATGGGTGGGGGACGGAAATTACGTGCGTCCGAGGATGCGCGACAAATTGCGCGGCGAAGTGCGTGGCGAACGACTTTAGCGCCTATCATTGGGGCCCAAATTTGAGGTAGAGTAGATTAGTAGGATCGGCTAACCCTACTAATCTACTCTACTTCAAGTTTGTGCCCCGATAATTGGCGCCAGAGTAGTCTGAATGGTCACGCACTTCGCCGCGCAATTTGCATCCTCGGACGCACGTATGTACCCATACCCCTCAAGGGTTCGGGAGACGGGCGGTAGGAACGGTTCTGTGTGATCGGTCCGCCGCACGCGGCTGTCGCGAACCATTTGTCTCGCTATTACAGTTCCTACAGCTCAATCGCTATGTGATTATTACTTTCGGCATGATTCTTTATTATTTCTTTTGTTCGTGTTTCTTACTTACTGCTGCACTCTGCTACATTCCTTCCGCGACGATTTCGTTCCTACTGCACCACACACACCCGATGGGTTCCGCTGGGAAGATTCCGCCATCGACAATGAAGAAAACTCCGACTCGTTGAACATCCTTACGGTGGGGCTAGGAGAGTCGAAAGTCTACATTTTGCGAAGGAATGACTTTCTTCGAATTTTTACACCCAGTTGATACACTTAGTTCGACATGAGTGACTTATTTTTAATGAATGGTAGCCACAGCAGCGAATACATGGAATAACTGCGGAACATGTCTGTCTGTCCAGTATCAGTTACAAAATTTTTCGAAGCACGAGATAGATTCTAAGAAAAAGAAGGATGGCTAGCAGTGAGAGATGATATGTAGATTGATAGTCGTACCTTTAAGGGCATCGTACTAAGCAGATTATTCATATCCTGATTGATTATTGTTTCAATCATGCGGCACATTCGCTGTTCCACTTGTGGCTTGAAATGGGCGATAAGAAATGCTGAAACTAGTCCATTACACAGCCGAACTATTACGAACAGCTCTACGACTACGGAAAACCCACCCTTAAAAGCATTGATGAAAAAGTCTGTAATCACACCAGTGTTCCTCACGTTCAAATCGACATATCCAATGGTCGACTGGCAGTGAGCCGACCGCACTTGAGGGGAGCCGAAGGCACTCCCAAAAATATAAGAACTCAGGCAAAATTACTGTGTGGGCTCACAATTATTTGAAATAGTTTCCAATTGGAATAGCTTCAGTTTCATCAGGCGCTTCGAAAGTATAGTTATGTTATCATGAGGAGGATCTGAAGGGAGTTCCTGACTCGCTTATTTCCTAGCGACTTATTGTTAGACTTTCATGAGGTGGTCTTAGCCTAAAAATGAGATTTCTGTGAAAATGATTTCAAAGTGACTTCTCAAGTATAACTACACCCACACTAAATAAAACTAAATACGTGAGCTTGAGAAACACCTGGAATGACTCTTACTCCAACAAGTCCACCTTCTGTATAATCTGATTTGGTGGAACTCACTTTCGAGGTCAACTGAGCAAACATCTCAACCCCTACAAGGCCTTCCAAATCAACCAAAATTTCGACCAGCTGAAGCTATTTCACGTTCTGGTCGCGACATAAAATGCTTTGACCGACAACAATTAACTTCAAACCTCATCTCATCTCAAGCCGAAGCAAGTCGTGGTTTGAAAAGGTACACTCAACTGGACTTGTTGGACCTGTGCCCGACGTTTTTCGATTCAAAGAAAACTTACTTCTCCAAATGCACTGATATTGTGAGTGCTACATGACCAAGTAAAGCCTCGAAATGTCCAGTAATGGGAACGGTAAGTAAGAGTGGATTCACAATGGATGCTTGAAAGTCTCCTGCGGCCCTGAATCAATTGGCTTTTCTCATAGCAAACAAGACTTGATCATCAAATGTCTACTCTACGTCTACGAAACGAGGGCTTTTACGACCTGTGCTCGATCAGTTTTCATGATTAGTGTGACAAAGGATAAAAAGAATTCGAAGGTTTCCGTTCTTGTATACGCTTTATTTTATCATGGGCGATTGCCACGGTGGTATTCAAAAACTCAAAGATATCAGGACAGAATAAATATGATTACTTGAGGGAATAAGATCGTAGCATTTTTAACAAATACCGTTATTGTAAGAAAATTATCAGTAATAACAGTCAATTGATTTATTATGTATTCGTCTTTCTGTTTGCAACTTTTCGCACCTTTCGTCCGATTTTTCGATGTCGTTCCACCAAAATCCACCCGATGTGGTATCGAAGAAGTTGTTAAGCCAGTTTCCAAAGTCTTCTTCATTGTCAAAGTGACGCCCCTTGTATGCTACGACAGGGAAAGAAAAAAAATGATAACCCATCGGTGCAAATCCAAGAGAATACGGCAGTTGCTAGAGGACTTCTCATTGAAGCTCCTAGAGTGCGACTTCAACAACTCATGCCTACCGTTGTTGTAAAGGATTATGACCTGGCGTTGCCAATGGAGCCTTACCCTTCGCATGGCCTTTTACGGTATGGTTGAGCTTTGTAGAGCTCTTTGATGACCGTGAAACTCCCTCCAAGCAATTTCTAGTGAGCTATTCCCACCCCTCCCCTTCCCC